ATACTTTCTACTTCCCCTTTCTTTCCTCCATAGAAAACGTTTTTGACTCCACATATACCCAAGCACCACTCACCTTTTTTCCCATCAATTTTATTAACCCATCCTTCATAAATCCATCGCCCACCGTCAACTCCCAAGTACAGGAAACCCCCTTTAAAACCTTTTTTTACCATTTTTTAAAACCCTTCCCCTTATACCAAAAAAACCCCCATTTTCCCCCCCTACTTTTAAAACTCAGGCCCCCCCTTTTTTTTTTTTTTCCCCCCTAAGCACTAACCCTCCATTTTTAAAACCCAAAAAATTAAATTTTTAAAAATTTTTTTTTAAAACCTAAATTTTACTTTTAACCTTTCAAATAAATTACAACATCGGCATTAAAGCGTAATTACTTTTTTACCCAAAAAAGAATTTTTTAAAATTTTTAAATTTTAAAAATGCAAACATAAATTTTAAATTCCCCACATAAAAAATAAAAAAAAAAATTGCAACATTGCCAATTGTAAAAACAATCATCTATTAAATGTTTTCTAAAAATTTTCATTTTTTTAAACCCCCTATTTTTTTAAATTTAAATAAAAAAGTCAAAATTAAAAAAAAACACCCCACTAAAAAAAACCCCCTTTTTTCAACCCCAAATTATTTAAAAAAAACGGGCCCCTTTTTGGGTTTTAAAATTTAAAATTTTCATTAATTCCCTTTTTTTTTTTTTTAAAAAAAAACCCAAAAAAAATACCCCCCTTTTAAAAAAATAAACAAAGTAAACATCAACACTTTCCGGGGGTTTAAAAATCGGGGCTCATTAAAATTCCCTTTTTTTTATAAAATTTTTATTTCCCCCAAAATTTTTTTTTTAAAATTTTAAAAGAAAAAAAACTAAAAAAAATAAAAAACCCCCTTTTAAAAATTTAAAGTCCAAAAAATTTCAACCAAAAAAATTTTTCCCCCTAATCTCATAAATTTTTGTTTTAAGGGGTTTAAATTTTTAAATTTTTGTATTTTTTAAAAATTTTTTATTTTAAAATCTTACAAAATTTTTAAAATAACAAACTCTTGGAAAACCCTTAACCCAAAAATCTTACTTTTTCCTTTTATCAATCTTTTTTTTATAAGTGGAAAAAAAGGGTGTTCCACTTTACGGCGATTTCCGCTTTACGGCGGTAGCCTGGAACCTAACCCGCCGTATAAGTGGGGCCTTCCTGTATCTGAAAACATTCACTTCTTCCATACTCCTCCTCCCCAATTTGACATCCAATTTTTCTTTATCTAAATCATTTGACACCCTCATCACCTTACTCTTTTCTATGTTCACTTTCAACTTTCTACCTTTACACACATTCCCAAACTCATCCACTAACCTTTGCAATTTTTCTTTAGAATCTCCCATAAGCACAGTATCATCAGCAAAAAGTAACTGTGTCAATTCCCATTTTGAATTTGATTCCCCATAATTTAATCCCACCCCTCTCCCAAACACCCTAGCATTTACTTCCTTTACAACCCCATCTATAAATATATTAAACAACCATGGTGACATTACACATCCCTGTCTAAGACCTACTTTTACCGGGAAGTAGTCTCCCTCTCTTCTACACACCCTAACCTGAGCCTCACTATCCTCATAAAAACTCTTACAGCATTTAATAACTTACCACCTATTCCATATACTTGCAACATCTGCCACATTGCTCCTCTATCCACTCTATCATATGCCTTTTCTAAATCCATAAATGCAATAAAAACTTCCCTATCTTTATCTAAATACTGTTCACATATATGCTTCAACGTAAACACCTGATCTACACATCCCCTACCCACTCTAAAACCTCCTTGCTCATCCGCAATCCTACATTCTGTCTTACCTCTAATTCTTTCAATTATAACCCTACCGTACACTTTTCCTGGTATACTCAGTAAGCTTATTCCTCTATAATTTTTACAGTCTCTTTTGTCCCCTTTCCCTTTATATAAAGGGACTATACATGCTCTCTGCCAATCCCTAGGTACCTTCCCCTCTTTCATACATTTATTAAACAAAAGTACCAACCACTCCAACACTATATCCCCCCCTGCTTTTAACATTTCTGTCATGATCCCATCAGTTCCAGCTGCTTTACCCCTTTCATTTTACGTAATGCCTCACGTACCTCCCCCACACTTACATTCTGCTCTTCTTCACTCCTAAAAGATGGTATACCTCCCTGACCAGTGCATGAAATTACTGCCTCTGTTTCTTCCTTAACATTTAAAAGTTCCTCAAAATATTCTCGCCATCTACCCAATACCTCCATCTCCCCATCTACTAACTCCCCTACTCTGTTTTTAACTGACAAATTCATATTTTCCCTAGGCTTTCTTAACTTGTTTTGTTTAACTCACTCCAAAATTTTTTCTTATTTTCATTAAAATTTCTTGACAGTGCCTCTCCCACTCTATCATCTGCTCTCCTTTTGCACTCTCTCACCACTCTCTTTACCTTTCTTTTACTCTCCATATACTCTGCTCTTCTTATAACACTTCTGCTTTGTAAAAACCTCTCATAAGCTACCTTTTTCTCTTTTATCACACCCTTTACTTCATCATTCCACCAATCACTCCTCTTTCCTCCTGCCCCCACCCTCCTATAACCACAAACTTCTGCCCCACATTCTAATACTGCATTTTTAAAACTATTCCAACCCTCTTCAACCCCCCCACTACTCATCTTTGCACTAGCCCACCTTTCTGCCAATAGTCGCTTATATCTCACCCGAACTTCCTCCTCCCTTAGTTTATACACTTTCACCTCCCTCTTACTTGTTGTTGCCACCTTCCTCTTTTCCCATCTACCTCTTACTCTAACTGTAGCTACAACTAAATAATGATCCGATATATCAGTTGCCCTCTATAAACATGTACATCCTGGAGCCTACCCATCAACCTTTTATCCACCAATACATAATCTAATAAACTACTTTCATTACGTGCTACATCATACCTTGTATATTTATTTATCCTCTTTTTCATAAAATATGTATTACTTATTACCAAATTTCTTTCTACACATAGCTCAATTAAAGGCTCCCCATTTACATTTACCCCTGGCACCCCAAATTTACCTACTACTCCTTCCATAACATTTTTACCCACTTTAGCATTGAAATCCCCAACCACCATTACTCTCACACTTGATTCAAAACTCCCCACGCATTCACTCAACATTTCCCAAAATCTCTCTCTCTCCTCTACACTTCTCTCTTCTCCAGGTGCATACACGCTTATTATAACCTACTTTTCACATCCAATCTTTATTTTACTCCACATAATCCTTGAATTTATACATTTATAGTCCCTCTTTTCCTGCCATAGCTTATCCTTCAACATTATTGCTACTCCTTCTTTAGCTCTAACTCTATTTGAAACCCCTGACCTAATCCCATTTATTCCTCTCCACTGAAACTCTCCCACCCCCTTCAGCTTTGTTTCACTTAAAGCCAGGACATCCAGCTTCTTCTCATTCATAACATCCACAATCATCTCTTTCTTATCATCTGCACAACATCCACGCACATTCAGACTTCCCACTTTGACAATTTTCTTCTTCTTATTCTTTTTAGTAATCTTTACAGGAAAAGGGGTTACTAGCCCATTGTTCCCGGCATTTTAGTTGACTTTTACAACACGCATGGCTTACGGAGGAAAGATTCTTATTCCACTTCCCCATGGATATAAAAGGAAAATTAATAAGACCAAGAACTATTAAGATAAAATCAAAGAAAACTCAGATGAGTGTGTATAAATAAATGATAGATGTATAGTGTAGTAATGGAAGATGTGAAATGTAGTGGTGATAGATGTTTAGTGCAGTGGTCATAGACTTGTAGTTTAATGGTGTTAGACATGTAGTGTAGTGGAGGTAGATGAGTACTGTATAGATGGTAGATATGTACTGCAGTGATGAAAGATGTATAGTGAAGTTTTGGTAGATGTGATGGTAGATGTTCACTGTAGTTGAGATAGTTATGTATTGTAGTGAGGGTAGATGTGCATTACAGTGGTGACAGATGTAGTGGCAGTAGATGTGCAGTTGAGTTTTGGCATGTGTTTAGTAATGTTAGATGTGTAGTGTAGTGATGGTAGATGTGTAGTATAGTGGTAACATGTGTAGTGTAGTTTTGGTAGATGTTAGCATAGTAATGGTATGTGTGTAGTATAGTGGTGACAGATGTGTTGCAGTGGTAGATGTGTAGTATAGTGGTGACAAATTTGTAGTGGTGGTAGATGTGCATTGTTATTATGGTGGATGTGTAGTGATGTTAGATGTGTAATGCAGTGATGTGTAGCATAGTGATAACATGTGTAATGGTGGTAGATGTGTAGTGCAGTGGTAGTAGGTGTGTAGTGCAGTGGTAGTAGATGTGTAGTGCAGTGATATAGCCGTTGAAACATTAACATTAGTTAAAAGATTTTATTTAAGCATGTTAATTAAATCTGTCAGTGTGTCTTGATGGAGGTGGTGCTCCTGCTGTGTCCAGCAAGTACTTATTTCAGTGGAAAACAGTTATAAATGTTTTTAAATGCCTGGCTATTTTTTGTTGAAGTTAACAGTTTTACTTTTTTTTTTTTTTTTTTTTTTTTTTGTAGATTTAAAATGCTGTATGACTCTTGAGGGTTTATGAAGTACTTTCTTTTGATAAAAATACATTGAGTTAAGTTTTTAAGCAGGGTGGGATAGACAAAAAAGTCTGGTTATAAATCACAGGCATAGACAGGCAGACAAGTCTTTTACTAAATAAGTCTTCTGTAAGTCTGTAATTCACTGACCCCTAACCTGAAACACCCATTTTTTATTTTCATCACACTGAAAATATCTCCTTAAAAAAATTTTTATATTTTTGTATTGCATCCCTTCATTTTTCTCTTTTATACTAAATTTTCTCATATGGTAAAATTTTATTTATATAATCTGTAATATATTCCTTAGTGTAGTGTCTGCAAAAATAAAAGATTTAATTTTCTTGCAGCCTGTGCGAGGATCTGGAGAAGGCTGTGAGTTTGGTGTTGCATTTGTTGATACCAGCATAGGAGTATTTCATGTGGGCCAGTTTACTGATGACCGCCATGTATCCAGGCTGTGTACCTTAATGGCTCATTATCCACCAGCTCAGGTAAATTGTAGATGCTATTAAAACCTAAAGGAGACTCCAGTACTTGTACTAGTCTTGATTCAGTTAACCTGCCACCACTGATTCATGATAATTCATGAGGTATAAAAAATTTTGCTCGTCTTCTTTCCAGAAAGATCAAAACCCACTGTTAAATATTCTCCTGCCTCAAATACATACATTAAACAATGGTTTAATGTATGTATTTGAGGCAGGAGAGATAAAAAGGAGGAATTAAGAGAGGAGTACAGTGTGACCCTCAAATTTGCACTGGGAGGGATTACATTCTTCGAGGTCCCACAAATCCCGAAACTGTGAATAATACAGTGCATTTTTTAACACCAGCTTTTTTCCCCCAAGGTAGGGTGATCAAATAAAAGGAAGCACATTCACCATTAATTCAGAAGTGCATAGACATCATAATTCAAACTGTACCATCTCCACATCTTCAAAATACAGGCACTTCACTTCTCACCTCCAGGACTCAAGTCCGGCTAACTGGTGTCCTGGAATCCCTTTAAAAATGTTAACTTGCTCACACACCAACAGCATGTCTAGTCATGAAAACCACTTGCCTCCATTCATTCCTGTCTAGCATGCTCACACATGCTTGCTTGATGTCTAAGCTCCTTACATAATCAGTCTGAGGTGAAATAACATCATTAAACAGTAGTTTTCCCTGGATGCTTCTGATTATAGGAGGTGCAGTATTTTGAAAGGATATTTACCACTAAATATATTTGATTATTTTTTCTTCATGACTTTTTTCATTCATTCCAGGTATCTTCTCCACTATACTGTATAAGATGAAATATCAGTGTTACATTAGGACTCCCTTGTTCTTCCACTACTATGAGGGATGAAGGTGTCAGCAATTCAGTATCCCAGATCTGTCTTGACATGCTTCTTTTGATACAGTCAGTACTTTTTGTACATTAACGAAACAACAAATTTGCAGATTCTCTTTGAGCGAGGGAGACTTTCTCAGAAAACACAAAAATTAGTAAATTCAGCTGTGCCTCCAAACCTGCGAGAGAATCTAGCTCCAGAGAAAGAGTTTTGGACATCCAGCAAGACTCTTGGCTTCTTGGCTGAAGGCAGTTACTTTAAAGATGAAGGAGGTGATTCCACTGTACAGTGGCCAAAACAACTAAGAAAAATGATAGATGATGGTAAGTACCTTTTTAATTCTTTTCCTATGTAGGTACTAGGAGGAATGAAGATGTTACTGTTGTATTAAAAAGTACTAAGGAGTGCTTCTTCCCCTCTCATAGATAGTCTCACTACAATTACTTTGTAATACTGTTTATTTTAACTCAGTATTTCAAGATTGATCCCCATTGGGAAATGGAACAGAATTCTTTCTCCGTAAGCCATGTATGTCATAAGAGGAAACTAAAATCCCAGGAGCAAGGGGCTAGTAACCCCTTTTCCTGTAACATTACTAAATTTAAAAATGTTACTTTTTTTTTTTTTTTAAGGTCACCCTGCCTTGGTGGAATGCGGCCAATTCATTAAAAAAGTCAAGATCGGCAATGCCCTGCTGTATTGTTTTATTCATACTATATATACTGTATTTCTACTTTTTTCTTATTTTTTAGCATCCCACAAAAACTTTTTTTTCAACTTCATTTCCTGTGGTTATAAGTTTGTTTAACAATTTGCTATATATTATTGACTTTCACATTGTTCCTTCTGTAGTTGGTGTTAGTATGCAGTAGTGGATATACCTCTGACAAATAACAAAAAAAGGCACAATACCGTGACTGGAACGATACACAAATAACCCGCACATAAAAGAGAGAAGCTTACGACGACGTTTCGGTCCAACTTGGACCATTTACAAAGTCCAAGTCGGACCAAAACGTCGTCGTAAGCTTCTCTCTTTTATGTGCGGGTTATTTGTGTATATACCTCTGGCAAATGGAAAATAAGTATTACAAGGTATTATAAGACAGTGTTTTACTCATGTGTGAATTTTATCAAGTTTTGCCAAAGGACACACAAATATGTATAACTTGTACTCAGGGGTGGATTAACATACAGTGGAGAGTTGTCCCAGAAGCCTTTGTGTGTGAGGGACCCCAGGCAGCTAGGTGTGAGGGCCCTCAGACCCCAAGTATGAAGGGCCCTCAGACTCAAGGTGTGAGGACCCCCAGATCCCCAGGTATAAGGGCACTAGGCATCCAGGTGTGAGGGGCCCCATGCTAGATGGGAGGGGTCTTGAGGTTCCATTTTGTATAAAAAGTAATAGGGTTAAAGAAATGTCTTTTAATTTCACTTGGTTTGTTATTATGCTTCATTTTAAGTCATTAATTCTAAGCATGAAATTATTTTTAAAGTACATGTATTACAAATGTATAGAATATACACTATATATGTTGTCCCAGGACCACACTTGCACTTAATCCCTCACTATGTATTCCATATTACCCTGTCACAGTGGGTGAGGAAAGATGTAGTAACCACAGATAGGAAAGTTGCTTGAAATGTCACTTATTCATGTGTTGGCTCATGCTTTTGGAAAAATTCATCTATTGGTTCATGTTTTTGGAGAAAATCTTATATTATGCCTTGACACATGTCACCCACCACATTTTTTCAGCACTCCTTATCTCCGTTTGTGATGAAGTTTCTTGTGTTCATTTTTTTAGGAAAGGTAGGGGTGTGTAGACCAAGTGTTTACAGTGAAACATATAGGTGAACAGTATTTAGATAAGGGTAAAGAGGTTTTTGTGGCATTTATGGATTTGGAAAAGGCATATGACAGGGTGGATAGGGGGGCAATGTGGCAGATGTTGCAGGTGTATGGAATAGGAGGTAGGTTGCTGAAAGCAGTGAAGAGTTTTTACAAGGATAGTGAAGCTCAGGTTAGAATATGTAGGGGGGAGGGATATTATTTCTCAGTAAAAGTAGGCCTTAGACAAGGATGTGTGATGTCACCTTGGTTGTTCAATATATTTATAGATGGGGTTGTAAGAGAAGTGAATGTCTTGGCAAGAGGTGTGGGGTTAAAAGATAAAGAATCTAACACAAAGTGGGAGTTGTCACAGTTGCTCTTTACTGATGACACTGCTTTTGGGAGATTTTGAAAAGAAGTTGCAGAGGTTGGTGGATGAATTTGGTTTGGTAATGGCAATGTGTGGTGTAAATATTATGCAGAGAATTCGTAGTGTGGAAATTAGAAGGTGTGGAGTTATTAGTCAGAGGGCTGAAGAGGGGTTGTTGAGGTGATTTTGTCATTTAGAGAGAATGGATCAAAGCAGAATGACATGGAGGGTGTATAAATCTGTAGGGAAAGGAAGGCAGGGTAGTTGTCATCCTCGAAAAGGTTGGAGGGAGGAGGTAAAGGACGTTTTGTGGCCGGGGGGGTTTGGACTTCCGCAACGGCGGGAAAAGCTGTTAGTTTGGGAGTGAATGGGGACAAAATTTTTTTGGGGGACCTGACAAAGCTTGTTGGAATGTGGCAGGGAAATTATTTAGTAAAGGGATTCGGGGAAACCAGTTTTTTTATATAGCCGGGACTTGAGAGTAGGGAAAATTTGGGAAAATTTACAGTGCCTGCATTTTAAAAGGGTTTGGGGTTTGGGATTTTTTAGCTTTTTGGGGAGGGATATGTTTTTTTTCTTTATGTTTTTTTTTAAAAAAACTTTTTTGTTTTGGGCTCCCTGAAAAGGGACAATGATTATGTATGATTTGAGGTAAAATTTTTTTGGAATGATTTTAAAAGTATTTTTTTTTTGGGGGTTTTTTTTTTTTTTTTTTTTTTGGGGGGGGGGTCCCCCGGGTCTTGGGGGGGAGATGGCGGGACTTTTGAAAAAAAAAAATGTAAAAAAAAAGAAAATTAAAAGTTAAATATAAAAAAGGGAAAAAGTTTGATGAGGAAAAACCAAAAAGATTAGGTGCGAAAGATTAGTTTTTCAGATTGGAGGGGGGGGGTTTATGGAAAAGGGTTTTTAAAAAATTGGGGTTTTTTAAAAAAAGGTTTTAAATTTTGGGGGAAAGTGGATGTGCCAGCGAGGGTTTAAAGGGCCGGGGGGTGAATCATGAATTGAGGGAGGGAAAAGGGTGAGTGGTGCTTTTTGGGTCTGTTGGAGAAAAAGAACTTTGTCCATGGAAGCAAAGGGGGGGAAGGTGTGAGGTTTTGTTATCCCCAACACTTTTTTGGGGGGTTTGTAAAAGCATGGTTGGTGAATGTTGAAAAGAAAAAGACTGGAAACAGTGGGATGTCATGTCTGAGGGAAATGTGTGGTGTGAATTTAATGCCGAAAAATTCGAAATTTGGGAAATTGGGGGAGGGGGTGCAGGATTACCAAAATTTTTTCCCAGGGGGTGAGGAGGGGTTTTTTGAGGTGGTTCGGACATGTAGAGAGAAGGGAGCGAAGCAGAATGATTCGAGAGTGTATTTTCTGTAGTGGAGAAAAGGTGGGGTAGGGGTTAAACCGAAAAAAGGTTGGAGGGGGGGGGTAAAGGAGGTTTTTTTGGGGGGAGGGGCTTGGATTCCCGGGGGAAGCTTTTTGGAGTTATTTGAAAAATGAGTGAATGGAGACAAAGGGGTTTTTAATATTTGATTTTGCTTTTGGGAAAGGTTTGGCAAAGTAAATTTATGAAGGGATTCAAGGAAACCGCAGGCCGCCCTGAGTCCTGGAGAGGGGAAAAGCCCAATGTCTGCACTTGAAGGGGGGGTGTTATTTTTGCGTTTTATAACTGTAGTGTAATGCCCCCCTTTCTGGCAAGACGGTTGATGGGGGTAAATTATAAAAGGGTTTTCTTTTGGGGGGCCACCCTCCCTTTGGGGGGATGGGCCCCGTTTTTTAAATAAAAAAAAAAAAAATAAAAAATTTTAAAAAATAAAAAATTTTTATAATACCTCAATATCTTTTTTTTAATAGAAAAAATGGGGGCCCAGTTTCAGCGGGGGCCCTTCTACTTTTTTAAACTTCATAATAAAAAAAATTTTCCATTTCCTTATCACTTGTAAATTTGTATTGTTTTTAACTTTCCCCATTCATTTTAAAGGTTTGATTGTCTACTCTACTTCCCAATTTTTAATGGCGGTGTTTGTGGACTAATAATGGTGAGAAAGTTGTTTTGTGGGGTATCTTTTTTTATCTGCGAGTTTGCACCCTGAAAACCAATTAGCGGGTTTGTAAAAATTTTTAAATGTATCCCCACCCCCTTGTTAGGTGAGGCAAAAGTAGTGTTTACCCTTTATTTGGCTGTCTAATTAAAAAAGGGAAAAAGATGTTGAGCAGTTTTCCTGACAGCGCTTTTGTTTCACTTACTTTTTTACATAGTAAAACCTGGGGAAGGGGGTGGAGACCCCCATTAAACCCCATTTCTCTCCAATATTGGCCTAAATTTTAAACAAAAACATTGTGGTTTGATTTTTAAACCCAAAAAATTACTGCCTTTCGTGTTTTGTTTACACAAAAAAAAAAGTTGTAAAAATTTTTGGGCATAAACAAAGCTCCTGGAGGAGCAAATTTTTTTTTTTTTTCCAAAATGAAATGTCACTTTTTTTTGCACTTGTTTTCCTTTTCCCCAAAATTTTAAAAAGTTGTTTTTGACAATTAAGATGTTTTATGTGTGATGGAGATTTTAGTAAAGAAGTCACTCTGGTTTTAGTGTGGGGGGTTAAATATTAAACGAGAATAATTTTTTCCCTAGTAAAAAGGGAAGAATTTAAGTGACCCTTGACATGGCATGAAGGGGAAACTTTGCTTTTAAGGGTTTAAAAAAAAAAAAAAAAAAACCTCTGCCCTTGCATCCGGGACAAATGAGCCAAAATAGAAATTTGATTTTCAAATTGCCCGCCAAACGGGTTAAATTTTTCCTGTTCACTGCTGTTTTTAAATTTAGTTCTTTGCCTTCCATTTAAAAGCTTCTTCCCCAAATTTTTGGGGTTGTTGAGGGTTAGATTCCCAAATGTCGTTTTTTTTGGGCAGGGGGGGTTTACAGATAACCTTTACAATCGAGGTGTTTTTTTATGAAAACTAAAAAAATTGGAAAAGGGAGAAAATTTGGTTTAAAAAAATTAGAAGTTTTGGTTTTAAAAATTTTTTCATAAAAAGATTTGTCCTTCTTTCCCCTCCCCAAATTTTTAGAAAATATTTCTTTTTATTTTTTCTTTTTAGACCCTTTTTTAACCTCCCATTTTTTATTTTATTTCTGAATTAACTTTTCTTTTTTTTTTGGGGGTTTCCCCCCCTTTTGGTTGGGTTTGGGCCCAAAGTGCGTTAAAAGGGAGAAAGAAAAAAAATTTCTAAATTTGAACCCTTTTTGCAATTCCCTTAAAAGGCTGTTTGTTTATAAATTTTTTTTGAGTGTTTTCCGGGACTGTTGAAATTTAATTTTTTTTAATTTTCTTTCTGTTCCCTGTTAAGTCCCCTGTTTTTTAAAAGGGAAATTTGGGCTATTCATCATTTTTTCAGTTTTGAACCTGATTGCCCCCCCTTTTCCCCGGGACATTTTATGACCCCTCCCGGGTTTACCAATTCTTTAAATTGTAATAGAAGTTAACTGTATTACAAGGTTTTTAAGGGTTCACTTTTAATAAGCTACTTACTGTAGGGAAAAGAGTGTATGCTGGCTCACTTTTTTAATTATTTTAGTGATTTTTTTATGACCAATTGGGCCCTTAAATGCTTAAAATTTTTTTTTTTTTTAAAACAGGGGCCCCACCTCCCCCCAAAAGCGGATGCCCCAAAAAAAAAAACATTTTTTCCCTTAAATTTACATATCTTGTTTGCCAAAGGAAACTTTTGATAAAAACGGGTTACAGTGGATTCTGGGCCCATTGCTCCCGCATTTTTTTGTTAAAAAAAACTATTTATAATTATATGATAAAGTTATTGTAAGCTTTTTTGTTTATTCCAAAAAACTTTTAATTTCAGGTAACTCGTTAGGCACCACACCCGATTAAGTTAAAATTTGAAAGTGTCAGCTCTTGGTGCACTCATTTGGGTATCTGAGGATTCCCGACTTGAAGAACAATTATTTTCCAATGTGAAAATTTTTTAAATTTTTATAAACCTTTTGGTTTGTAGAACTTTAACAGGAATGGGAAAAAATTCTTTTTTCCCTGCATTAAAAAAAAGAAGACACCCAAGGGTTTAGTTGTTCCCTGCCCTTTGGGCCCTTTTTTAATTTTGCAGTATCTAGGGATTTTTTATTGAAGAAAAGATACATAAGTAAAACAAGCTTTTATTGGGGCTTTTTTCAGAAATTTCCTACACCCAAAAAACAAAGCAAAAAAATTTTAGTAAAAGCTTGTTTTTTGGTACATGTGTTGTTCTTTATGTTGTTGGGTTACCCATTTTGGGTTTTGAATAATTTTTGTGGGGGAAAATTTTAATTGCCCTGCTCACTCCATTTAAATTTTAGTTTTTTGAAAAAAGTAGTTTTCTTTAGTTTATCCAAATTTGTAAACCCCTCTCTAGTTTTTTTGGGGGGATGGTATTAACCTTTGGGAATTTAAAAACCCACAAAATTTGGGTTTTGAAAGACCGTTTTGCCAAAAAAACTTGCATATTTATTAGGAAAAACGTTTTTGGTTCCCGGGACCCTTTTTCAAATTCTAACTTTCAGAGGTAGGAAAAGGGATTATATATATAGGCCCGGGAGTGAGGGTGTTTCGCCGTGCCCGAGGAATGTCATAAGAAAAATAAGGAAAAAGGGGGAAAAAACGGGAGAAGGGGTTTTACTGGCCCATGCGAGGCAAAGGGCCCCCATCAAAACAACCTCTGCCTAGGGTGAGGGGGGTAGACGTTGAAAATCATTTTTGACTCCCCGGGTTGTTGGGGGTTGGGGGGTGTTAAGTATCATTTTATGCCAAAGTTTTTAAATTTTGTAGTTTTCCCGTGTTGAGTTTTTATAGTGGGGGGTGACGGCGATTTGAGGCTTTTAGGCACCCTCGGGGGCTGGGGTTTTGGTTCGGTTTAGAACAAATTGTGCCTCATTCCCGTTAAACAAATGTCCCCTGGGTCGGGGAGGACCCCCAGGGTTCCTTTAAACGTCTGTTTGGGGGTTTCCCAAACACACAAACCGGGAAACCCATACGGCTATCACTTCGGGCATGGGAGGCACCACAAGATAAACCGGCACCCTTTCCAAATTTCCTTTCAGCGTTTGGGCACCAACAGTCCCCGCCAACCCCAAGCACTTTAGGTGAAATTTCTCCCGGAAAATTTTCCCCCTGAATGTCAAAAACAAAAGCAGGCTTCCCTTGATGTTTACAGCCCTCTTTACCCAAAGTTCTACTGGCGGGTGCCCAAACAACATTCTGAGAAGGGCCACTGAAAACCCCGACCCCCCTTTACCTCTTCTAGGGCCCTTTAATTCCCCCCAATTTTTTCTGGGGGGAAAATTTTGTTTAATTTTTAATTCTTTAAAAAATTTAGGACAATGTTAAAACCCTTTTTGGGGTTTGGGTAGGGCAGGCCCCCTCAGTTTCTGTGCTTTCCAAACCCCTTTTATGGAAAAAACCCGGGGGACAGAGAAATTTAGCACCTCATTCCCCAAAACCCCCTTTCCTGGGTAAGATCGTTGATGATGTATTGGTTTTTTTCCCAGAGTCTCAAAATCCCGGGCCCCTTTCAACAAGATCAATGCAGTTGAAAACCCTCAATTTTAAAGGGTTTTCACTTGAAATCGAAAAAAAGATGGCAAACTTTCCCTTTTTTCGACGTTCTACTGTGCAGATCTCCCAAAAGTGGGGCAAACTTCTCTTCAAAAATGTATAGAAAAATTACCAACAAGGGGGGATCTTTTATTCACCCAAGACACCCGCACTAAAGGGGAGGAGTCCCCATTGGCTTCTTTTTTGAGAGTCTTGGGGGTTTTCCCGCCCATTTTTTTCTAGAAAAAAGAATGCCCCCCATAACACCAAACCTTTACACGTCTTCAGTTCCCCTCTTTCTTCATCCCAGATTGGGAGAATTAAGGCACAAGCTATTTTCCCAACCCAAACCCCCCAGGGGAAAAGGCCCCCAAGCAGTTCTTTGTACTCCTTGTGGTTTATTTTTCCACGAATACTGCCCGGGGACTTGTATGAGTAAATTTAACGTTTTTCCCCCAAAAAAACCATCTATCAAAGACCCCCATACGAAAATTTCAGCCCCCCACCTCTTTAAATTCTACAGCGGCGTTTTTACACTATCCCCCGTGGGTTCGCCCAAGAATAGTTAAAGGGGAGACAGGCCAAAAAGGGTCTTGCAGTGCTTGAATGAGCATCGAAATGCCCCTTTAACCCGAGCAATGTTTGGTAAGCCTGTGTCCTCCCAAAAGATTTCCCCGGGGTATTTGAGAATGGAATGAGGCACAATTTGTTTTCACCCAACCCGGGGCCTCGCGCCGAAAGGTGTAGAAACCTCAATTTAAAAGCCGTCACCGACACTATAGAACACAACACTGGGGGGAAATACAAAAAAAATTTTAAAAAAAATTGGCATTCATGATACTTAAGCACCACCAAAACCCCAAAAAAACACAGGAGTTATGTTTCAAGTTAACCCGTCCCCACATAGGTAGAGGGGTTTTTTTGAAAGGGGCCTGCCTTGCATGGGCCAGTGGGCCCTTTTAAAAGTGTTCCTCCATTTTTTATGTTTTTTGACTTTTTTTTAGGTCACGTGCGTCACACCTCACTCTCCCCCTATATATTAATGCCTTTCTACCCCGTATGTTGAAGTGATTTAAGGTCCAGGACCCAAACGTTTTTTTAAAAAATGTCTTGTGTTTGCTTTTCGGTCTTTCTAAACCAATTTGGGGTTTTTTCACCCAAAACCATTCTTTAAAGGGACCCAAGGGGGTATATAAATTTTTTTTAATAATTTAGGTACTTGGGGACAACCTTTTGTTAACCCCAGAAGATTTTAGGAAAAACTAATGGGGGTTTTTGGGGGGAACTTCATTTATAAGGGGGGATCGCTGTTCAAAAACCCTTTGGGGAAAAGGTTTAAACTGTCACTTTACAGGGAGAAACTTTTTTTTGTTTGTAAAACTTTATTTCTTTTTTTTTTTTGTTTTTTGCAAAACAACAATATAATTTTTTGGGGTTAAATTGGTTTTTATTCCTTGAAAAATTTGGTTTTTAGTACTTTTGTTACTTTTATGCCCACTGTCCTTTTATTGTTTTGACCTTAGTAAAAAATAAAAAAGAAGGGACACTGCAAAAGGGGTTCTGGGCCTATGTGGGCAGTTCCATGTCCCCCCCCCCCCTCACCCCCCCGGGTTAGAAATGACCCTCCCCCGGTTTTGCCCAAAGGGCCCCCCAGTCTGATTTTAAAAAAACTCCCCCTCAAGGATGGAGCACTGCCCCAGCCCGCAGCACAAGCTAAATCGGTCCAAAATCACCCCACTCATGTATTTATCTACCCCATTTTTAAAAAAACACAAGTTTTAGCCTGAATAACGGTACTCGGGAAATTTGTTCCAAAATCCCCCAACTCTATTACCAAAACCCGTGCTTTCCCAATCCTTTTGAATCTGAATTTTTCCAAATTGAAAACCATTGTGGAGTCCTGTCTTTGGGGGAAAATTTTTTGCACGCTATTTTTCATCCCCTTTATTTATTTTTGTTTTCCCTTTTTACACCTCGTTTATCTCCCCCAAATTTTACCCCTTTTTGGACGTGCAAAATTCAGGGCCCTTTTAGCTAAACCCCATAGGGAAAATTCTGTTTCATGGGGGTCATCTTTTTTCATCCTCCTCTGTACGTTTTTTCCCGAGCATTTATATCCATTTTGTAATACGGTGCCCGAAATGGCAGCATAGTCTAAATGAGGCCCCAACCAAGGATATATAAAAGTTGAAGAACAACCTGAGGACTTCTATTAAATTTATTTTTAGATATAATTTTTTATATTTTTTATTTTTTCACACTGGGGCCCATTCCCCAAGGCAGGGTGGCCCCAAAAAGAAAAAACTTTCACCACATTCACCCCCTCATGTCTTGCCCCGAAAAGGGGGCTTTACACTGTTTTTAAAATGCAACATTTAAAACCCCCCCTTCAGAGTCAGGCACTGTACTTCTCATCTCCAGGACTCAAGTCCCGCCTGCCGGTTTCCCTGGAAACCCCTTAAAAAAATTTTACGGGGCCCCATCCACAGCCCCGGGCAAGGATTAAAAAACCATTTGTCTCCATTCCTCCCATCAAAAAACGCTCACGCTTCCCGCTGGAAGCCCAAACCCCCCGCACACAATTCCCCCTTTACCCCCCCCCCCCAACCTTTTTCCCAGGCCGCCCCCCAAACCCCCCTTCCTTCCAATACGACTGATTCCCTCTTGTGGGCCAAATTTTGTTTCGCTCCCTTCTCTCTACATGTCCCAAACCCCCTCAACAAACCCTTTTCAAACCCCCTGGACAAAAAGTTTTGGTAATCCCGCCCCCCCTCCTAACTTCCAAACTACGAATTCTCTGCTTTATATTCCCCACCACCCAATTTTCCCCCAGCCCTGGAAACTCCCCTTTCCTCCGCCTTTTCCCGCTGGGAAATTTTATCCCCACGCTTTTACACCCTTTTTAAGGGTTGGAAAAAACTATTTCTTCATACATTCCCCCCTTTGCCTCCAAGGGGGCAAAGTTCTTTTTCCCACAGGGCTCCTAAGGGCACCACTAAATCTTTTTCCCTCATCAATTCTTTGATTCACTTATTTTATAGGGCCCATTCTCTGACACGCAATCCCAAAAATTTTTGAATTTCGTTCACCTCCTCCCTACTCTTTTCCCTCCAACTGAAATCCAAACTTTCATCACCCTAAAACTTTTTGTTAAACCTTATAACCTTACTCTTTCCTGTATTCAAATTTAATTTTTTCTTTTTTTCCCCCTACCAAATTTTCCACCCAATCTCTGCAAATTCTCTTCGAATTTTTCCCAATATTTTTAGATATGGGAAACCAAGAATTTGTTTGCT